AACGCGCCAATCGCGTCCTCGAAGAGATTCTTCGAGGGTACGTCCACTCGTTTACGAGTTGGAGTGAGTTCTTGTCGATGGTCGAATTCGCCATCAACAACTCCGTGCATGCGTCCACGACGCATACACCGTTCTACGTGAATGGCCTTCGCCATCCACGTGTCCCCACCTTAGTAGAAGGTGACTCTAATTCAGGGGGGGAGGAACTCGCTCGAGCGAGAACCAATCTGGCTCTTGCTCATCACGCGACGACGTTATGGTCGACGCGAAAGTAACCGAAGTCGTACCATTCGACTTCGGTGAAGAGGAAGAAAGTAAGAGCGATGACGCTCTTACTGACAACGATGCTGAAGATATCAGCATCGTTCGAGGTATCACAAGTGAGAACAGTAATGTTCTCACTGAATTAGTAACCGATATCTCTGCAGTGCATTCACAATGCACTGCAGCCAAAAGCAACGAGTCAGCTGAGGATTTCCTGCTGACTCGTGAAGCGGTAGTCCGTTTCGTGCAAGATTCCATCGCGGAAGCGGTGGATAAGCAAAAACGAAACGCAGACAATAATGGAAGGGCAAAAGCTCAAACATTTATTGAAGGTGATTTAGTTTTACTGTCAACAGTAAACCTACCTAAACATATAGTGACTAACGTGGGCAGCAATAATTTGTTGCCCAAGTACATCGGCCCGTTTCGTGTATTGCGCCGCCTAGGCAACGCATACACGATCAAGTTGCCACGCAGGATGCGTACGCTTCCTACGTTTTACGTGGGACGTCTTCGTCCGTACGTTCAGTACGCGGCTTCTTCGAACGACGAAGATAGCCATTACTCTCAAGAATCCCCTTCAGATTCTTGTTGTCACGAACCAGATTCGATATCTGGTCGTGTAGAGATGAGATCTTCCCATGATATTGGACGATCTCCTGACGAGCTGTCGCCAGCTCGTTACTCAGAGAATGAAGTCGCCGCTCATTCTCCAATAGTGCGACAGCATTGTTCGCCCGAGACCTCTCATGGTCAAACCCAAGCTGTCGCACAATGTCCTCTAAGCGGCGACGCTTATCCCGTTCGTGATCAACATCACAACGGAGCTCACGAGTTACACGGGCAAACCCGTCTAACTCAGCAGCCAAGTCCAATGAAAGAATCGGACAGGGTTTTCCCTCCACCACCGCATCCGCTGGTGGACTCCCATGGTGGGAAGCGCTTCCTTGTGGAACGCTTACTAAAGCACCGCGAGGTGAAGGGACGTCGGACGAGTTATCTCGTCCGGTGGCGTGGCTATCCGCCTTCGGCGGATAGCTGGGAACCTCGGGCCCAACTGATGGCCGACGTTCCCGGCCTTGTCGAACAGTACGACAAGGGGCACCCGATGGTGAAGGACCATCGGAAAACGAGCGCCCAGCGCGTTCGTAAAGGGATTGCAAAGTAGCAATCCCTTCACGCATCTCAGAAGAGATGCGAGCCCTCCACCAGGGCTCAGTAAGGAGGTACGCCTCCTTAGGCGCTCTTGATGAGGTGCTCAGGCACCCCGGGCATGGGTCGCCCCAAGAGAGGCATAACAGGCCTGCCTCTCTAGATAACCGGTGCAAACGATAGCATGCACCGGACGTACTTCGTTTCTCAAACTTCTTGCGGCTAGCATAAAGTCTTTGAAACCAAGTCTCTTTCCCAACGTTTAAAACGTTGGCGATAAACGCGTTCCAAGATTGGAGGAACGCGTCGGCCTCACGCTTCTTGTGTGGGCCATACCATCGATGTTCAAGGAACACATCGATGTAATAATCGTTCTCAGTGCGAAAGTTCTTCGCACTGGCGTCAAGACCATGAAGCTTTGACGCATCAAACAACGGTATGGGGAACCGTTCGTTGGTCTTTCCAGACCAACGATCAAGCAGATGCTTAGGTAGCATCCATGGCTTGCGATCAGAAGCAAGACGCAATACGTTGCGGTCTAAAGCCTCCTGCGTGGTGTCAACAGAAGTACCGACACCACGAGCATTAGTGTCAACAGAAGTACCGACACTATGATTATTGATGTCAGTAGAAGCACTGACATCACCCTTACGGTCCCCACCCGAGTCACTATCCTTCGACTCGTTTGGCGAGTCGTCTGATTCATCAGACGACCCGAACATTTCACGGTACATTGATTCACTCAATGTACAACGATCCCTCTTCGTAGCATTAGACGACGAGGTATCACCCCGGGGAGAGCCCGGGAGTGGAATAGGTGACTTTGAGCCGGATGCGTGATCCGACTCACCAGAGTAGTCGACGACTAACTCTGGGTCAACATCTTCACGTGGCGAAGCGCTACGTGAACCTGCAACAGGCGTTGCAGGCTGATGTTGACTTCCAGCAGACACATTAGTGTCTGCTGGCTGAGGCTGTGAAGCCTCAGTAGCGGCTGCACACAGGCGTGCAGCCGAGCTCTTGGCTGCCTTAGCAGCGACGCGCATTGACTTTGTCATAGCGTAATTGTTGAATGAAAGAAAATTCAACAAGTTCTCCTTTTCCATAGTCACTAAACAGTCACTAATGTGACTGTTGGTTGAGGGGGGGGTGATGTAACGGGGTGAGCTCGTTACATAATATTGACACTTATATGAAGTGTCAATAAAATATTATTATAACTAATAATATTTTGACAATATTACCTTTTCTTATAATATTGTTCCTAGATCTCCTTGAAGTTGGAGATGCCCTCTTATTGGTTGATATGGGCCATCATATCAACCAACGCGCTGACCAATGACCGATGGACGCGCGCAATGAGTGGAGGGCAAGTTGTCGACATACATAGTTGTAGTTTAATATAGTTAACATAGGTTATAACAGATTAGTTTATTAAGATAGTTAACTATATTAAATACAGTTTTCTTTTCCTCTACTTCTAAGCGTTTGTTTAGAAGTAAAGCTTCCTCTGCCTCTTGTGTAAGAGAGGTAATTGAGGCACCTGCTTTCACTGTAATCAGTGAAAGTAGACTATACTGTAATCAGTATAGTCGGAGGGTGCCCCGTTACATCATCAGAATAAACTCCAGAAAGTGAACTATCTGCAGGGTCCACATCGATTTGCCTTCTAAGGATGTCAAAGTACAAAAAAATACTAGGTCAGCTGAAACAATCTTGTTGACTTCCAAGTGGAGCTAATGGAACGCCAAGGAAGCTCGATGACCCGACAATCATTCTTAAAAGGTCGCACTAGTGACTGACTAGTCAGATGATGACAAATCAGGTCTTCTTTTCAAAAAGTTATGGGATTATAAAGGAGTCTACGAATGGCAACTTGGTCGTACGTAGTGTGTATTGTACGGAACACCCCCATCAATTTACCTAGATGTAGCCATTGAACCCATGTATACGGTCCAGAATGTCTTTCTATTCGATTACATTGATCAAGTCACTTCTATACGTAATCCCGCTGCGAATACGACAAGATGCAGATGAACACCACCAGCGCGTTCCGATTGCTCTTGATGTCGTCGTCGTCTCCGTGGCTCAATATTCCATCTAGCTTCAGCAGGTGACGTGTAAACAGTTCCACCTACTCCTTCACGCGGTAGTCAAAAGCTCTGAGCTCGAGACGCATGTTTCTTGACGATAGCTGCGGTGTCATGTGGCTTGAATGTCTTCAGTCGCCACTTGGTTCCACATACGGTGGCCATCAAGTGCCGATATTGAGCTGGCACTCGCGTGCTGAGCTTCTCCTGTACATCGTTAATATTCTGTTTGATGGTCTGCAAGCGGCTCTTTTTGTGGGATGTCTGGGTGTATATCGCGTTGATGGTTGTTTCGACATAATGTCACGTTGGGACTAAGTAGATTCAATAATGAACAACATTTGGATAAGTATGAAGCTAATTGAGACAGGTGAGGACGTTTGAGATCCTTCGTCGCTAGAGGATACTAAAGTAAGAAGATAAAAACTAGACAATATGAGGAGGTTCTATTCTAGGCATGAAAGGTTTGACATTCAATGTGGTCGTTCATTACGTCGTTCATGAGCTAGCCAAGCTTGGCAAGCTCAATGTATGATAAATGTATTTGATTGACACCAGAGTGAGTGACAGACAACTCCTCAGCATTCCTATGTCAGTCGACGAATTGCTAGCGGAAGACTTGCTGGATATACCCGTACTCACTTCATATCGGCCGTGAAGCTCGGGTTAGAATAAGAATGCTACCACAAAAGAGAGGCATCAGAACTTGCACGAACAGTGATTTGTTCTGCAACTCTGCCCGTTTGCGTATATACGCTCAGTTGCAGGAACGCTGCTGAAGAACGTCCAAGACAACATGAATCAGATAGGCGCAAGCTTACTCACGTATAGAGATCTCCAGCTCGGTCTCACTCCTGACAGAGTCTGCCACTTGCTTGATGCGAGGGTGGAGATGAGAAAATTGGCCCAGTGAAAATGCCCTTGTCATCCCTCTCGCTTCCGGTTCATGGTTCCCACACACAACTTGAGGCTCCCCGAGCGTGACTTCACTGTCAGCTTTGATTAAAATGTTCTTTGTATATGCACATAACGAAAACGTTGTGCAGGACACTGGACGGCGTTTGCGCCACAACGATCGAAAAGAACGTTGTTTTGCCGGCAGGCGCTGTAGCAGCACCAGCAACGACCTACTGAGGCTGCTGCAGCTGCTTCGTCTTCCTTCGCGGAAACAAGGTAAACATGCAGACTGATTCAGCCCTACTTTTTCGCTCACAGTCGGTATGGGCGTTCTAGTAAACTGTGAAAAGATGCAGCCATCAATCAACAGAGCAATACACCCGCTGGCATCACCCCGAATGAAACATTCTACAGTCAAAGTTTATACTATGAGACGCTGATAGGAACATACTTCGAAGTAATAATACAAGCGGGCTGTAGCTTCATTGCTCATTAAAAAACATCTTGCAGGTGAACTGGAATCCATTCAATGATAGACAAAAGACAACAACGTAATGGCAATCCTCATATTTTCTTTCAGCCACAATCTCACTCTGCTTACCAGCCTGCATTGACGATCTCCTTCAGCAGCGACTGGATAAACGCCACACCAAAGCCTGTTGATCGCTCGTCATCACTTGTGAACACTGGAAATGCCATGTCGACGTGCAGCCACTTGCCCGTATGCTCGAAGTCTCCCAAATGGTTTGCGATGAACTGCCCGGCGCACGACACCTGCGCGTTAGCACGGTTTTTCACCGAGTTCTTCATGTTGGCTATGTTGCTCGTGAACTCGAGGCGGTGAAACTTCGGCGTATACGGCATGGGGTGCACCAAGTCGCCAGAGACTTTACCCGCCTTGACAGCCAGTTCCTCCAGACTACCGTCATTTGTGTAGACAGCACCGATACGGTTACCTGTAGCAATGCCCTGTGCTCCCGTCAACGTGGCCATATCCACGATCACCTTTGGATTTAGGTGCTTGACAGCATACGCCACGCCATCAGCAAGCACAAGACGTCCCTCGGCGTCCGTGTTGTTTATCTCCACCGTTTTGCCCGAGTACATCACCAGCACATCATCTACACGCATCGAGTCCGGTCCCACTGAGTTCTCAGTCACACATAGTACCACATGCAACGGAGTCTTATCTGTCGTATTCTTTGCGTGACACGCTGCTTCAAACGCGGCCAACAGCGACGCTGCCCCGCCCATATCACGCTTCATGCCGACCATGCTGCCACCCGTCTTGATAGACAGACCTCCCGTGTCAAAGATGATTCCTTTGCCCACCATCGCCACCCCTTTCGCATCCTCAGCTCTTTCCGGTACGTGACTCAAACACACCAGCGCTGGTTTATGAGTCGCAGCTTTTCCGACTCCGTATATGCCACCGAATCCCTGTTCATGAAGTGTTTCACCCTGAATAACCACGATCGCAGCCTTGGTCCTTTCTGCCACCGTACGAGCTTCAGCAATGAATGCATCCGAGTGCAATTCATTAGGTGGAGCGTCTACAAGTCTCGTCGCCAATTGAATGGCATTGGCTGTATGTTGCAAGAGTGTCGTCTCCTTCAATGTCAATGGGGTCTGATACACCACCTCGAGCTTATCCGACTCAATCAGATTTTCTGCTGTCATTGGCAGAGCATTTTTTCTCTGGAATGTGTGCTCATAAAGTGGAACTGCGCGAGCCACGGCCGCTCCAGCAGCAAACCACGTGTCCGTATGAGTCGGTAGCATTAACACCACTAGCACCACCTCATCGTCGTTTTGCTCTGCACCTCTTTTGGTTATTAGTTTGGCGTGGTTTTTGACAAAGGACGCAATGGCATGAGGTCGTGCCAACGTGTTGGAACGCGACACCTGCGTCGGTAATGCAAATAGCGTCACGCGGAGTATCACGGATGAGTAAAAGCTCAGAGGTAGAGCCATGGTCGGTACTGGGGTTGAGAGTAGCCAGAGTATGTTGTAGAAGTAGAAGATTGGTTCGAGATGAAATACTACGATAGGTTTGCTGTCCTACGAAGAATGGAAAAGCGACAGCTGAGATGAATGGGGCTATGTTCTTCTTGAAAGGTACTTGGGTCTGACAGCCTCACATCTTTACAATAATCTTTGGACACACGAAAGCCTCGTTGATACTCCTCTCGCTCTCGATCCACATATCTGTATCAACTGTGCACTCGACCGACACTATCAAGAGCATTCAGAATTGTACTTGAAATGTAGCGCTCGAAATACAGCAAAAGGACGAAAAGCTACGACGGAATTAGAGTCGAGCCCCCTCTCGATGACGAAGAGGCGCTATCCACAAAGCAGCAGAGAATGAAAGATGAGCATCTGCTTCTGAACCATGAAGATGAATCACTGGTGTATGCAAGCTCGTTGCCGCTATTGATGCAAAAAACCTGTTGCGCTGGGCAGTGGAGGCCTCGGTGTATTGCTCCTCTTGGTGGTGGTTTTTGTGGTTCAGGGAAGCCTTTTACAGGCCCCACGCGTGACCCGTTTAGCGACCGAGACAACCACGTGGATGGAGATGTTACAAACTGACGTTGTCAGTCATATGGATAGAGATGTGGACCCGCGTGATGACTTTTACGTGGTAGTTGTGGATCATGGCAGAAAAAGGTGGAGATTCCGGAAGACAAGTCGAGTGTGTCCTTGGTATTTTCTACTTTAGATGATAAGAATGAAAAGGTGATAAAAGACGTGATGCATCAAGGTTGGCTGTTCGTGGGCGAGCTGTACGACTCGTGCATGAGCTCTAACAGCACGAACAGTACAATGGTGACTGACGCGTCGTTGAAAGTCCTGTCGCCGGTGTTAGAGCAGATTGCTGCGACGAAAAGCAAGAAGAAGCTGTTTCGATTAGCAGGAGTCTTGCACAAAGTAGGAACAAGCTTTTCAGCAGAGCTCGGTGTCGAAGTGAATGCTCAAAAGCGCCGCGTGCGTGTTGTATGCAGCGCAGTATGGACTGCCACTGTCGAATCCCCTGTATTATTTGGACCGCAAGAATTTTGACTCCATCAGTGACGCAATATATGCGTATGTGGTGAAGTTGTTTGTGTTAGTTGAATGGGGATCGCGTGCAACAGCACCGCAAGTTCCACAGTGATTGGTTGGGAAACAAACGCTTGCACCGCTTTTCGTATCGCTGGATGATCCTGTCTCAACGTACAATCGCATGAGCGTGGCTCAAGCTGCTGATAGATATCCATTGTTTTTCTCACAGTCCTTGAAGAGCGCATGTTGCTTAAGAACCTCACAGATCAGAACGCTAACGTGATCGTGCAAATGCCCGATTTTTTTAAGCGTGTTGAAAAGCTTGTGACTGGTGATTCTGTGACTTTGGAAACCCTGATTAGTGTGCTGATGTACCAGTTTATCAACGCCAAGGTAGATTTCGTCAGCGAGTCTTTCATTCAAGCGAAACTTCTCCATTTATGTGATCGGACTGTTGGCGGTCAGAAGAAGCGTTCCATGTGATGGAAGGAGTGCCTGTACCATTTTACCAACACATTTCCTGATTTACTGGGCAAGTATATTGCGCACCTCGAGTTCAACAAGGCCAGTGAGCACCTTGCCAGCCAACTTGTGGCGCAAGTTCAAGCGTCGATGCAGAAGAACCTCAAGCAGGTGGATTGGCTTGACGGGCCCACTCGACAGGCCGCTGTTGAAAAGATAGGCACCATAACCAATCTTATTGGGTACTCGACTCTCGCCGAGCACTTTCCGTACGAACTACGCGGCGACGCACTACATGCAGAGAATATATGCGGGATCGTCATGAAGCATCGGTATAATCGAGATATAGGACGGATCAGTGGTCTATTGAACCGCAACGATTGTACAACAATGGATGTTGAAGTAATCGCGTAGTGTAACCCGACATTGAACCAGATCGTATTTCCAACTCCAGTCGCCATTTTTCGCTTTTGAATACCACCTGCATGCAACTTTACTTCTATTGGTTGTATCATCGGTCACGAGCTCACGCATGGCATTGATAACTCTGGAAGATACTACACTGGTGACGCATCTTACTGGTGGAGTAACGACACAGCAAACAAGTTTTGATGAAGCAATACAATAGTTTGCAGTGACGAGTTATGCAGATTAGGATAAGGCGCTATGTCAGCTATGGTAGAATATAATCTGTATTCACAACAAGTTTGTTCTGTAGCTGCTCAGAAAATCATGCGGCAGCAATGTCATGACAGGGTAACTCAGCGGTGGAAACACACGCACGGTTCTAAATAAGTTTCGCTTCACACCAGGCTTCGTAGACTAGTCAAATCCCAACGATGTGTTGTCCACGTTTCAATATGGACTCGAAAAGCGCGAATAGTAAGTGTAATTCAATCGATGTTGAGCCCTGAGACTGACGTCGGCTTCGACATTTTCTCGCAACGTCGTAAACTGCTCGAGACCCTTATGGATCATCAAAGTGGTTTTTGACCATGTAGACGCCACATGTACTTTGCGTTTGAGCACTTAATCGAGTTGAGATATATATTGATCACCCTCTAGAAACACCGGAGCACTTCAGTATCGTGACCTGATCCCACCACACCACTGAATACAGCATCGGATGGCTCTGGTATCTTGTCGCACTATAGATGTGTATCTACCTCGGTAAAATTCGTCTTCGTGTCGCTTGACGAAATCGACTTATGCGTCACAAATTGATCTTTTATCGCATAAAGCAGCAAATTGCGTACCACAAACAAAGGAAGCAACGCTACTTCCCATTTGAAATGCAAACGTAAGTACCAACGACGCATGATCACATTCGGGTTAGATGCATCATCATCTTCGTAAAATTTATCTCGGTTTGCCATACCGTCTCAGCGCTGCTTTGTTTTCGTTTCGCATCAGTTCCGTGCCCATTGATCTCTTTGATTGTCGTAGTGTAGCTAACACGTCGTTCTTGATGGAGTCTATACAATAAGTATTTCTGTACCCTTCAAGAAGCGTGTAGAACTCCGTAATAGCGAAAACGGCAACGAAATCCACTAATTAGGCGGCAATTTAATGACGGGAGATTTCACCGTTTTCTGTCTTCATTCACTAGGTCAGATGCTTCACCTCGTAACACTCCGAGCTGTGGTTTAAGGTACGCGTTCGATCCCAGGACAATAAGTTGTTATCGTAAGTGTTCCAATCGCGAAAACACCGTGACAAATAGAGTAGATGGTGCGGCCTCTGTCGTACTCAAATCAACGTTCACATTGCCAAACAATGACAGCTTCACCGAGATCTTTTGCTAGTACCACACTGATCAATTTTAAGCGAGTCCAGTATAGCCTTGACACCGCTTTAAGCTCCAGTTTCATTGTAAGAGCAATATTGCGCTTCATTAGGATTGTCTCGTGGCTGCCGTTCAGTTTTGAGGAGACCTTGTATCTCCCGAAGTTCTGCACAAGGCAATCCGGTTCTTTCTACTTTTTTGCAGCCATTAAAAAGTCAAAAGCTATCCTGATGCTTCTGCAGGTCATTCGGCTTGGCCTCTTCGTCAAGGGCGTCCATTAGAGCACGTTGGTCCTTGAGATACTTGGAGTCACACTGGTTTAGAAACCATCAAAGTAGACATGCGTTGTCTCCAGCAACAGAAGACAGACCGGCAACCAGTTCGCATGGCTTAAAACATTTTTCATGTCGTTGGCAATTTCAATATAGCAGGACGGCGGCATCCCACAGCGTCTAATCGATGATGCTAGACGTAACCAAACCGGCCCAATTTACGGGGCCAACTTCGTCGATTTCCTTGCCAGTCAACCCCATCAGCATTTTCACATCCTTGATTCGACGTAGGCACGAGAAGTCTTAGTCGTTATTATGATACAGACTCCTTTCATTCACATTCTTGATGAAGACATTGGAACGGCAGAAGCGAGCTGGTGGTTCTGCACCCGTAAGAACAACCCCAGGTCGCAGGTCCCTCATTTTACATCCTTCAATGATTGCAGTTTCTTTCTTTTACCGAATTTGTGTTCTGCGTAAGCTTGCTTGCTATAATTTCTGCCTCTGCAATAGCTGCGCAAACTAAACGTTCACGTTTGCTTCGCAATAACTTTTGCTGCGCTTTCGTACTAAATGATGCCTCCACATCGCTTGAGTGGCTGCACATGCCACTCATATATATCATGGTCCGAGCAATTGGCTACCATCGCAAGCAACACCAACGCATCCCCGATATAATTCGCGGCGTCATGGTTCCTTAGCAGACACACCGACATTTTTTATGTAGATTCAGCGGGTCTTGATCGCCAATGAAACGGTTCTTATTGCCAGCTTCGCTCTCAAATAGTTCTCAACATTGGCCCCGGACGCAGGAACGCTTAATGCAGTTGCTCAGGCAAAGTTATCTTTGTCTCGCTCAACTTCTTACTAACCTGGATGGTATCCTGGGCAGCGGCGGTAGATTGGACGCCTGAAAGGCAAAAATGACTTAAGCAGGTCGGAGTCCTTGCTTTCTAAAGCCGGAAAGGTTTTCCCAACTTCCATTCTTCCTGTTTGAAGTCGAACGGCATGGCAGAACTCCAATCAGCGATGCCTACTCGCGAATACAGAAATGTCCTAGTTCGGTGCCATGTCTTTGCTGCTGTAGAGCTCGACGACCAGCAATGGATGGATCACCCTCGCTTGGTTTCATCGGCGTAGTGTAAGTGAGACCATTGCCAAATAAGCTCAAATTATTGATAGAATCTGTTTCAACGGTCAATGCTTTGACTGAAGTGTATATGTGAACGAATAGGAAAATAGTTTCTATGTTGACTGTATGCACGTAGAACTTTGCAAGTCAACACGTATTTTATCGGCCATGGTGCTGTATGTTCGTTTCTTGGGTACGCCAAATCCTAATGCAGAAATAAGCTCTAGTTTAGTTTGTGAAACCTTTTAAACCAATAAACACAGAATGAAGCAAGAGCCATAAGCGTTTTCCACACCAGCACCTAACGTGTATTATCATTTATGTCATGAGTGCTATGTCTCGACTCTCACACTACACGCCATAGTGACATCTTGACAGCAAAAGCGATCGACCGAACGAATTTCCAGAAGCCATTTTGTCCGAAGTGTTAGGGTGAGGGTTTGTGCGATCTAGGGGGAGGCACGGGCAAACCACCGGGCTGAGATGGGAAGCCTTGCGACTTGTTCTCACGAAGACTGCTTGTGGCACCCATAGCAGGATTCTCGCACAGCAGAACCACAGCTGAGATGACCAGTCCGTAGAATAAGTTCATGATGCGTCGTCCTTGATAAATGCTTGTTTGATGTGACGGTCGCAATGCCAATTGGGAATTGTACATCAGTGCTCCTCGGTCATCCGAACTTGTAAGCAGCTGCCAATCCAAACTTGGAAGCTCACAAGATTCTACCAGCTGACCTGTAGTTTTTATACTCTGACAACAAATCGACATGGACTTTGCTGATTAGATTTATTCTAATGCTCTGGCCAATCAGCAAGTGACACGTCGATATCTATAATATCTTTACGGGACATAGTATATTATCACAGGAAACAATTCTGACGTCATTTGATGACGCTTAGTCCCAGACGGGCATCACTCCCATTTATGTATTATATTACCAAAAGTGTTACATGGTGTTTCTCACCCAAGCGACAGGTCTTAAGTACTCACGCTCCTTCTTAGACCTGCCCATGAGGTACCGCATAATTAACATATTCGTGTAACGTTTGCAGATTTCAGATAATTAATCTCTGCCGATGACTGCAGTTCTTCTGATTAAGTTGGATAATCTCGAGGTGGTACCCATTGACATTGGAGGAGATGACACTCTTGCAACATACAGCCGATGCCATACAAATGGCGACGAGACTTGTAGATGCTCCACTTAATCATAATATCAATATTCAAAAATTTCATCCGTCACTCATCGCTTTCCATCTGACACCACATTAATTAATGAAAGGCAGTCAGGACTTGTCCATCACTCCAATGGTCATTATGGCTCGGTTACTTTTGTCTTTAAAATCTAAGCAGGTTGTGTTGTTTTTGCAGGCATAAAGTACTTAAAACTTACAATTATTTCACATTTGATTAAAATAGTCAGAAAACAACCAGGAATCGCCAGAGCAAAAAGCAATCTAATACTTGTGCAACAATGTCTGATAATTTGAAATGTATTGAGGGGAATCGGTACCTCCGACCTGATCCGACACCTGCGGTAGCAACACCATCTAAATCAAGATATACCACTATTTTTTCCCTCTAGTTTGCCCGCTTAAACTTCTTAAAAAAAGACAAAGAGTGTGAATATTTTTATAACCACTTTTCGCAATTTTTTCTTCCTTCCATATTATTTTGTCTTATACCTGTAGTAGAAAATGCCATTCTGCAACTCTGCATTTTTATTGTGCGGGTGAATATGGGTAAACACCCACGGGTTTGAGTCCTAGGCGTGGGTAATGAAATCTTAGTGAGTCGGAGTCGTCGGTAAACGCCAAACCCAACCCAACCCATCGTAGTATACTCCAGAGATACGACTCAATATGTAACAGGGTACCCAGTTACACGTAAACATAAAGTAATATACTTAATGTTTGGTCTAAAAGTATCCATGATTACTTTTGACCTGTCACTTGGGTGCGATACATAAATGTGATCCACCCTCGTGAATGTGATATACATTGATGAATTCACATGAGAAGGATGACGCTAGTTGAAGCTAGGCATCGCGACGTCTCAGAAGGACGTCAGTTGCGATCGTAAATCTAGATTTAAGATCATGCGACAGGATACGCTTCTAAAGAGTCGCGTATCCGATCTCTATATATATATATAGCTAATCAGTAGTTAAGTGTATATTAAGTTATAATTCATTAAATATAGCTCAGTCTTGAATTTGCTTAAACATAAGCGCCACGCACGAGAAGCTGAAAAAGCTTCTGCGTGACGTCGGTGACTTCTTGTTTTAGAAGCTCGTTGCACTCTCTCTTAAGCGAGAGGCAACTGGTGGTACGACTGCTTAAGCAGTCGACCAACCGCATAACCACCCTCGCACGCGAAGGTAAGACGGTATAACCGCTTCCTTGCTTGTGCTGAAGGTGTGTGCTAGTAGCACGAG